CCCAGTAAAGTGCGTTTATACAGCTTCAAAGCGCTTGGCACTCAAAAGGTAGCCTGCCCAGAAGATGGGTTTCTTTTGCGGGGATTGTTGAAGCGCTGCCTGCACAAGGTCTTCAAGCCCAGAAGCCACTAACCCGCACAGCCCAGAGCCTCCCAAGCAGCACATCCTCCAAACCTTAATTGCTTCCTTTTCTTGCTGCCTAGCTGCTGGTGCGGAATGCAGACAAAAGATCCACAATTCGGCCGTGTTACTTTTGCTGTGGAGTTCAGGATATATATCCCGATGCACTTTTTTCTTCGTGCTCTGCCCCGTCGTAGACAGCATCGCGCAGTCCAAAGTGTTCACACCCTCCACTTGGGCTTCGCGCGCCTGGTGCCGCGCAGAGAAGCTGGCTTGCCATTAGGGGTCTTACGTGAAGCTACAAATGCATGAGAACTCAACCGATTTTGACCGTTGTATGTTTACATTCATGTAGCGTCACTTAAGCCCTAACCCTGTAACTACAACCCGTGCATAATCCTTGTGAAGGACAGACCTTGTGGTAGCTTAAGTTAATCGAAGTACCTCAAAAGCGACACAGGAAGACACTGCGAGAGCTTTCAAAGGATGCAAGCTGGGTCATGATCAAGAGTCTTGGCTGTTTAGGAATGCAAGCCCTAAAATGGAAAATCAAATGGTAACGAAGATGGATCACGGAATGGAAAGTGCGTATATATAGGGGTGTGTACGAGTTATACAAACTTAGCAGTTTTTGCTGTTCAACAGCAATGCGCATCCCCTCCTCTATCAAAGGGGGAGTATTCATTGCTAAGGGGAATGGGGGTTTGATTTGGGGTACGGCATTCATTATTCATGGTGGTAAGCGGCACGCTACAGCAAGCACGGCTGTAATGGAAAATGGTAGTAGCAGAGTGACTTTTGCGTTGCTTTTGCGTTGTAATTTTGACATAATTTGGTGGTTTTCCTAAATAGGTGACCCCGACCTGGACCCCAAAACATTATGATCCTTATGATGGAACCCTCAATAAGGTACCCATCCTTTTTGGGAAGCCCCAATTTCCAGCTAGGCGCAGCAGCATTCAATAAATCAAGGGACTGTGGTTTCCCCAGCCCCAAACCAAAAAACAAGCCGTATGATTATCCTATGATATTTTAGAAGGTCCGGACTACAAGGGTTAGGGTTAGCAAAATGCTCCCCATTATTCAAAGTTCTTCTCCGAAACTTTCATGTTGTCCCTATAACCCCTATATCACCCCCATATCTCCTTTAGCTCACATGCCCAGGAGCCGTACCCAGATCGAGGTTGTGGTGTCCCCAGTACTTGTTTGCGGTGGCTCGCCAGGCTTGCTGCTTGCTGATTAAAATGATGAAAAGAGAATGGAAACTATTGTTTAGGGTTTAGGGCTTAGGATGCATTCTCCTTAGTGTGTTATAGTATTTTTGTTCCCAATGTATAAAGTACTCAGGGTCATGCAGGATTTTTAGTATCCGCCGTATCACCCCTAAAACGGAGTCTATGCAGGGATAGAGCTTACTTCCGGTTAGTAGGGAATGGAAAAGACAGAGGAAACTACCATATCATTGGGGGCTTTAGAGTAAGCAAGTGGGTGTGCAGTGCAACATAGCTAGGGCCTCATCGATTACTAGCAGTATGCTCTTCAAGACCTCATTTAGATGCAATATTCTATTCCACACAGGTGCTCAAGAGCCGCGTTCATTATGCAAAACAAATCTGGATCAGATACGAGTTTGTGCAAAATCTGCTTTCGTGGCTAAAAATACCTAAAAATCCGGTTTCCATTGCACTTGCCATTTTGCATTTGATTCTCCATTATTAGAGTAACATATCATAGGTCCCAAAGGTTACTTGCCTTGTGCTGCCAGGGGGGAACATCCATGCCTATCATGACTTACCCAGCTGCAAGCCCCAAAAAGCAGGTGAAGGAAGCTTCTCTGAGGAGGAAGACCGCATGATGTTGGGCCCCGTCCTGAAGCAGGCACTGAAGCAAAAGCTGCAGAGCTACTTGAGACAGGAGGACTTTGTGGCTTATCGGGTGCTACTCAACCTGCAACCTGGCAAGAATGTGAGTGGCCCTTGATGGCGATCTTTCGTGGCTGCAGTTTCTCCGGTGGGTGGGTGGGTGGGTGGATGGGTGGATGGGTGGGATGGGTGGGATGGGTGGGACGCATGCCACGGGATGGGATGGGATGCCATGGGATGGGATTGGATGGGTGGATGAATGGAATGGATGGGATGGATCTGACAGCATGGATTGGATGGGTGCAGATGGGTGGACGGATGAGATGGCAAGGGGTTCGATGGCATGGAATGGGATTGAATGGATTGGATGTGTGCGCGATGGAAGGTTGGGTGTGATGCGATGTGATGTAATGGACGGATAGAAGGAGATCATGTTTTTGTTGTTGTTGATGATGATGATGATGATGACCATGGATGTATGGTCCCGGAGAACAGACGGGCAGGCACTTGGAATGTACAATTGTACGAAGATCTGCCTGCGAAGAGATCATAAAGAAGCCCAGCACAGGTAATTGGGCTGAGATGTTGCGAACGCAGAGACCTGATCAACATGCGTTGGAGACTAGGTGCGATGGAGTCCCACACTACAACAAGTGGAGGGCAAGATTGACTTTGCGAGAGCTCCTAAATGTCGGAGAAACTCGGCCCGTAGCATCGCCATATCTGGACTTTCCCCGTCTGGGGTTGGAGGCCCCTGGAGGCCCTGGAAGCCCGAAAGGCGCCCTGGAGGGTCGGGGGTTGAGGGGTCAGGGAGGGGCCTCCAGGAGTCAGGGCCTCCAGCGGCCTCAGAGGACTTTGCCAGGGCCTCCTCGTCATGAGTTGCAGAAAGGAAAAAGCTACTTGTTGCATGGGATCTCCTTCGTTGCAAATTATGTTTCGCTTGTTGGGGTAAGTCAAGCAATGGCCCCACATCAGCGCAGATTACTGAGGACATGAGGCTTGTTCACTCGGTTTGCGGGGCGACAGAAGCCAGTCAGAAAAACACAGAGACAGAGAAAAAGAGAGGGGGAGAGGGAGAGAGAGCTTCAGGAATGCACGACACCCAATAACACGAGTTGCCCAAGCCCGGAGCCAAAATGTCCAAAGCTAAACCTGAAGCCCTGAATCCTGCCCAAGAAAACCAAACCCTGAAGCCTAGCCTGAATCCCAAAATCGCATCCCTAAAGTGTCCTTTTCAACATGCCCTGCACCCACAGCCTTGCAAAATCTTGAAAACCTTCTGATAACCCGCCCAGACTTATTTTGAAAATCTTGAACCTAATACCGTCAGAGCTCTTTAATCCCTAAACCCTAGTCCCTGATCCCTCGTCCCTAAACCCTGAACCGTACACCCTGAGAACCTTGACCAAAGCCACCGCAGAATGCAAGGCAGCACGCACACCTCAAGGGGTTCCCCATCGAGCCTGTGCGCGATCTCGTCCCTGGAAGCCCAGGAGTCTTTAGGGGTTTAGGATTTAAGATGTAGGTTTTAGTAGTTAGGGAATTTAGGGTTTGGGGTTCAGTTGGGGTTTGGGGTTTAATTAGGGCTTAGTGATTAAGGTTCTTACAGCTCGGGGCTCGCGATTCGTCGGTGCCCAACAATGTAACTCCATGATTCTCTTGCAATGGCGCCACAAAGCCCAGAATTCAGAAGCAGACCCACACCCAAAGTATCTGCATCCTTCTTCTATGACGAATTAATACATATTATATAGCGTTGCATTCTACTTCCCAAAAGGCAGCAAGAATACCCCTACTAAGGTACCAGAAAGCTTGCAACCCAGCACATCTTCGTATTCCTGACATACCTCCGATTGCAGCAAAACGGAATGCGCAATTTGGAAATTATATATATATATAGAGGAACAATGGAAAAGAAAATGGAAACTACTACAATGGGGTCGTATAGGGTTTAGGGTTGATGGTTTTGAGATAATGGAAAATAAAATGGAAACTAAGACCCTAAACTCTAAACCCTAAACCCTAAACCCTAAAACCCTAAACCCTACACCCTAAACCCCTAAACCCTAAGAAATTTGGGAGCTGAGAGGAGATACCGCGAATCCGTCCCAAGCTGCCGGGCTATGATATGAGCTATAGGCTAAACTCCTTAAAGGGGGGTTATATAGGGTTTAGGGTTTAGGGTTTAGGGATTGGGTTTAGGGTTTAGGGTCTACAGGGCTTATTAAGGGGGATACTAGGAGTTTAGACTATAGCTCATATGGAGGAAGTCTCCCAAAATCATGCGCCCCTTGTGGGAGCTCCTGTAGTTAACAAGGAAGGTACGTCTTTGGTGGCATAGAAGGGGGGGACATCAAATGTCTGGAAGTCTGCCCGATGCTGGGTTAGAGCCTACGTAGAGGTTCCAGAGCCAGGGATATAGTTTCAGGTTATAGCTTGAAAGCTCTGGAAGTACGTGTAGCCCCAATACTTAAATAATTTGCTCCCAGCAACTGCAACTCTATGTAAGGATTATTGGGGGTGGCCCAAATCCCAAACTCAAAGACAGGTAGTCAGGTTTAAACCTTAAACCCTGAACCCTAAACCCTAAAGCGTTTGGGGTTTAGGGCTAAATCTGCAGCGTTTGCAGGTTGTGACCTCAGCTATAGTCTAAACTCCTTAAAATGCGGTCATATAGCGTATTCAAATGGGGATTACTATAGGGGATAATAAGGGGAATGCTGGGAGTTTAGGGTTTAGGAGTGTAGACTATAGCTCACTTCAGTGGAGAGTGGGCAGATCAACCCCAATTCAGCCGTAATCAGGTTCAGTCATCCTTTGTCTAATCGTCTGCAAGATATAGCCCTGGTCGTTATTGCGTAAAGGTTTTACATCGTTCTGTACACCTGAACCTCATGCGGATTAAACATCATAATCTTCAGGAGTGCCTCGACAGTACTTAAATGCTAAACCCTACTGCCACATCCCGCGAACCCCGCACCCTAAACCCTAAACCTTAAACCATCAGATCCAACGCAGGTTGTTCCCTGGTTTCTCCATCAGAACGGCTTTGAAAGAGTAACGGACTCCGACAGTCAGGGCTGGTCTCCTTTGCACTATGCTTGCTGCTGGGCCTGTATATGGAGGCTTACCAAAATAGGTATATAGGGGGTATATAGGAGTTATATAAGGATAATGGAGAAAATGGAAGCTACTATTTAGGGTTTAGGGCAAGGGTTTCCCAAAATTTGGGGTACCATTTTGGGGTCCCAATAATAAGGATCATAGTATTTTAGGGTCTATATTCGGGTCCCCCTATTTTGGGAAACAACCATATGGAAAGAATTGTTCTGGTTGATGGGGGATTTTTTCACTGCTTAGCAAAAGCTTCCACTGCAGGTTAACTTTGGTTGAAGACAAGAACTTCACTCTAAACACCCTGCCAGTTTCCATGTCATTTTCCATTTTCCATTTCATCCTCAGAAGCCTATATACCCTATGTACCCCTTTATCAGTGAAGTAGCAAACCGAGGCCTGGGCGGAGATCCCAAGCTGATTCAAAGCCTTTTGGCAAACCGTGCCGATCCCAACCGTCGCACCAGAAAAGACCAAGTTCAAGTGGACTCTGAACCTCTGTTCAGCAGAGTTTTTTGGGGTTTCAGGTGGGGTATACCCATACATTAAGAATCAAATGGACAAGAATAATTTGAAATGAGTTGGCAGCTAAAATCGTACAAGGTTTATAGGGTTTCAGGCTGAAAGCCCGGATTGTATCCAGGTACTATGTAATACTGGCAATTCAGAGCGACCTCACCCGACCTCACCCTAAATTGTGGTCTATATATGGTGCCAACATGGCCTTAAATTGGGAATTGAAGTTATTCTAAATTTCCTGTTATAGTCTCTTGAGATGGCTGTGATACATGGCGCGAATCTTGTGTAACATGCCTAACTAGTTGTTGCTCAGTTCCGGCCGATTACGATCCAGTACCCGAACAGCTATAAAGCAATTGGAGACATGTTTTCAAACCGCCCGACCGCAGCCCAGGAAATGGCACCGTTTGCTTCGGCGCTAACTATTGCCACAGCTTCTTGTCTTTCCTCTGGCACCAAATTTTGATTTCTTTCTCTTGGATGCTATGAGATGAAGCCGCAGAAAGGCTGAAAGATAACCTTTCAACACCCAGGGAACTGAACACCTAGGCATTGAAGCATCACACAGCTGTTGGCATTTTGCTTGCGGCTAGGGCACGTGTGGACGTGGACTTGATTACACCACCCATATGTTTTGCCGCCATGGCGACGCGGCACTTCATCAAACTTTTCTTGCTGCCATGCATGGCACAGACTACTCTGGATGTTTCAAATGAGCGCAAGCTTTCTATGCACATGCATTGGCCTAGTCCCTTTCTCCTACGCCTGCCTGTCTTCTACAGTAGCAAAGCAGAGACTAGGTGAACAACCCGGAGGGCATACGCCTCCTTTGCCAAGCGAGCTGCTTGGCTGATTGTGGCCCTTAAACCTTGGGTCCTGCCCCCACCCAGCTACACTTGGATAATATTTAATATTATTGTTATATATATATAGCCCTTAATANNCCCCCCCCCCCCCCCATAATAGGCTGTTACTGGATGGGTGCAGGACGGACTCAAATTGAACCCTAAATCCTGAATCGTCCTATCACAATCTTTGTGCTTCGCTGCGTACATACTTGAGCCTTGCAAGTACCTGATAGCATGTATGCAAAAGAGGGAGCAACAGCGTAAGCCTAGCTACAACATCAAGCGTTGCAATATGAATCGGAAGAAGATGAGACCCTGGAACCATAGTTTTCTCGATTTAGGGTCAGCATGTTCAGCTTGTTGGTTCTTGGTAGGGAATATGGGAAAATAACAACCGTAAAATTCCTATATACGTATTAAATTTTCCCTTATTCCCTGCTAAACACCAGTAAGTCAGGGTCTAGGGGTTGGGTTCAAAGCCGAGGCGTTACCCCCCTTCAGGGTTTAGGGTTAACGCCCCTTAAGTTAGATAACATGAATGTATTCCGCTTTAATGCAAAAGCGGCTGGCAACCCAATATGGGTCTCCATATCTTCCCTCAGAGTAGACCACAAACCCTAACGGTAATCCTCTGTAAATGATCTCCCCACGCTGAAGCCTACGTAAGTCTCGGCGTGCTTAAGGTCCCCGAGTTCTTGCGAATCTCAGGCTTCAGCGTCGTTTCAGTGCACATAAGGTAGCTCACTTTGAATCTTAAACCCACCCTAAACCCTAAACCCTAAACCCTAGACCCTAAACCCTAAACCCTAAACCCTATGAGCAGTCGTCTAAGGCTCTGTACCTCAATCAATTGCCTTCAGCATAATATTGGTAAGTATGTAGTCTAAGCCATGTCCTAAATCCGTAAACCCTGAACCCTAATGAAGACCCATGATTAAAGACCTCTCCTTTTAAGGGCCTTAATATTAGGATCGCCATTTTAATTCCTATTGGGGGGAGGGGGTTTACTCATCGGGGTCTACATTAGCCAATAATAGAAGTTTGATTTCTTTTCCTAAGCCCTAAACCCTAAACCCTAAACCTTAAACCCTAAACCCTAATCCCTAAAGCCTAACCCCCTAAACCCTAATCCCTAAACCCTAAACCCCCACCTCCTAGGTGCAAGCCTTGACTCTGCGAACATCTTTGGAATTTCGGTCCTGGAGCTGGCTGCAACATACGGGGCAGCTAGGCATCGATCTTTTTTTTTCTCGATGCTTTGTGGCGAAAGTTTGAAAAGGCATGCCATGCTGGATCCTAGATACCCAGTAGTACCCTTTATCCCCTTTTTATGTTGGGGTCTCCTTATGAGAGTTGAACATCATAAGGAAAAAGGGTAAATTTGTTATTAAGAGGTTGCTGGGTAACCTGGCATAAGGTTTTGCGACAGTTGAAAGAGGCTCCAGGCTTTGTATTCGCTGAATGGAAGCCCGGCCCTTAAGCTTTTGGTCCTTTCTGATATTTCCTTGTGGATGCGCAGTGTTGCTGTTGCAGGTCCTACTGTGGATGGAGGAAATCCTGCACCATGCAGTGTATGCAAGGAATTTCAGTATCTAATGGGTACAACAGCAATGACACAAGCCGTCATAATGGAGTCGGCAGCTGCACGAGAAACAACTAGGAATAATTGACTAATAGCAGTAAGACTCACAGGAATCAGATGTAATAAGAACAAGACTAAGATTAATCATCGGTAATAATAACAGTAGTAATAACAGGAATAAGGTGTAATCAGCCTAAGATCAAGAATAAGAATAATCATCTACCCCAAGGATACAGTAGGGCAGACCAAGGCACCAGAGGCCATGGAAGAGCAGCTTCGGCTTAGATCGAAGTTTCCAAGCAGGGGTGGTGTTGGGGTTTAGGATTTGGGGTTTAAGGATTTAGGTTTAGGGTTTAGGGATTTAGGGATTTCGGGATTTAGGGTTTAGGGATTTAGGGATTTAGGGTTTAGGCTAAACAGGATTCAGCGGAGGAGGAAATCAAGCAAAGGTTAGCATCCCGATGGTGCTCCTACTGGCGCTTAAGGGAGAGTGGGGGAGTGAATATAGATACAATTATGGGGGTATATATGGGATCCTTTTAGGGATCCTCTCCCCCACTCCCTTAAGCACTAGTAAGCACTGTACTTACCATCGTTGGGGGTTGTATAGGATGGTGCAAGGTTTCCTCCATCCACAGTAGGTTCAGGGACTTAGTAAGGAACGGAGGTGTGCAAACGAAAATGGCAACGACTATGTTGCTTAGGGTTTGAAGGTTAGGGTATACTTGGAGGGTCACGGGGACTTACGTAAGATTCCTGTAAGCCGTATAGTAATTAGTAAGCCCAATAATCTGCATCGTTCTGAACCCAGATACTAAGTCCCGCTGACCCTCCCAGGGATCCCTTTTTAGTTTTTTTTCTGAATCAGCGCCGTGATTTTGTGCTTGCCTGTTGGGATCTTGGTTTGCGGACACCAGTATACGGTAGGCTTTAAGTGCTCTTCACAGGCATTTATTTGGAGCTTAGAGTATCTTCCAAGATGAATGTCGAGTTTTTTTTTGCATACGGTGCCTCCAGAGCTTGCTTTCGGCCTACATCTGGGGGTTTCCCGAAAATCGGTGTCTTGTTTTGGGGTCCACCTACTGAGGATTGTAGACTATTTGTGTTTATATTTGGCCTCCGATTACAGAAATTGCCATCTCGGCTGTTATAGATGGGAGCAGTGGGACGGATTGCCTAGCGCGCCTTGTGTAGATAAGCTTGAGGGTGTTCAGTGCACACCCCTCCTCACCGCGCGACCCTTGGGATTATGGGTTCTCCCCGCCCCTGAGGTTCCCCCTGAATGAATCAGCCTGATTCATCTAAATAAGCCGAAGTAAGGGGAAACCTCGTGGGTGGTTAGGTAGCCCTGAACGGGAACCCAGGATCTTCGTGCAGGCGAGAACCCGCGCACACAACCCCAATCTCTCGCACGCGTTGCATCTGGGAATGGGCATGAGAGGCGGGAGCTTTTGAAAAGTGATCCCCATGGAATCCTCAAGAGGTATTACATATATACATATAAGTCTTATTCTTGTTATTGTTGTTCTTATATATTATTTTCATCATTTTTGCTTTGTTATCAGTATCACAATTAGTATATTGTTATTATCATTATTATCATTATTAATACTACTGATGATCATACTACTATTGTTATGGGACCCCTCAGAATCCCTTCGTAATCCGCATATATGCTTAGGGTCCTCTGCGGGGAAAAGCCCTTGACCTTAAACATAATCCCTCAACCCAAACCCTGTACACCCCTGTGAATGCTCCTCATGTCTTGGGAAACCTTCAGGTGGCAATTCGGAGATCATCAGTCGCCTGACGAGCCGAAGAGCAGATGTGAACTATCGGTCTCTCATTTGTGTTTAGTAGGGACTGGGAGAGAAGATGCAAGCGACTATTTAAGGGTTTAGGGTTATCGTTCAGGGCTTGCTGGTTGCTTTTGGGGTATCCCTATGCCCATTGAAAGGACATGGAAAATGGGAAATGAAATCGAATTTTATAGGTGTTGTGCTGAGGCTATCTTACTGGTTGTTCGCGAGGATGCAGTAATACGAAAGGAAATGGAAAGTGCGGAAAAGAATCACTTCAGGTTCAGGTTTAATGGCTAGTAGGCAGAACAACTATTAGTATTCCACTGGTTGTTATGATGGCTCTTCCAAACTGAAATCCAAGCTCGGGTTACATCGTGGCCAGAGGGATTGGAAAGGAACTTGGTTTCGGTTAGCGGGGAAGAAGGGAACGCATCTCTACAGGAGTCCCTATACACTTCCCAGTAATGAGCCCTACGCTCGTTTCCTTCTTTCTATCCTGCCCTGCTAGCCGCTAGACTAGCCACCAGTAAGGTATACGGTGCGGTCGTTTTCTCTTGTCGGCGTGTTCATCTCCTACAAGACCTTACAACAGAGATTTGGGAAGGTCACTTCGACAGGGCGCCTATGTGATGGGGCTCATGGGTCCACACCTCTCATGGCTGCAGTGAAGTCTGGCGAATTTGAAGGCGCAGCGGCACTGATTGCAGCGAAGGCAAGGCTGGATCTCACGAACTATCGTGGTCAGACTGCGGCAGACTTTGCGAAGGAGAATCCGGTGCCGGCATTTATTTTACAGGCGCTGCAGGGGGACCCTGCAGAATGCGAGAGGATCTCATCTTTAGCTCTTGCGGATAGCTTTTTTGAAATTTAGCCCGGCAAGGGGGGCCTTTGCCAGGGACTCTGTGTTTCAAGCGTCCCGCTGCTTAAAGCATGTCAAGTAAGAATTGTACTAGTAGAAATGCTTGAATAATTGTAAAAGCAGTCATCGTAACACTAAAAAAGTGTTCGTTAGGCTCTTCTAGTTTTGAATCCTGCAATTGTTTCAACTGACTGGCCCAGCTTCGCACAAAGTGCAAGCTCAATTTGGGGCATTGGGCCGCGGAGATTCAGGTCAGGAAGATTCAAAAGCAAACCGCCTTGTTGCATGGATGTGTTTAGGGTTTAGGGTTTGCCATAAGAAGATTCAGGAGTTTTAAGCTTCAAGTGCTGCGCCAGGTATCCGCTGGTATCCAGGGACTCGCGCTGGTAGTCAATTCCAAATCGGAATTAGGCTGCTAGAGCCAGTGAGAGGAATATTCGCGATAATTGATGCGCCACATTTACCATTAGATGAACAAAGATGAGGACCCGGTTCAGAGCCCATGGGATTGAGGGTATACGGGCTCAAAGTTTGGGGCTCTGAGGGTTTGAGGTTACGGGCGTCCAGTTTTTCTAGACTGCCTCACTGGGACTTCAGAGCTGGCAAATTTGAGCCAATTGAACCCTTAAAGTTTGTAAAGCCCCTTGAAGCTGGGATTCGGGGTCCCCCCCAACAATATCGTAATGCGAACTGCTTAGGGAAAGATTGGCTTTAATCTACTTCAGCTCTGCTTACTGTTAAAGTTAAAGGACGCCCCACACTTGCGGTATATAAGCGTCACGGCCCCTTGTTCAGCAGGTTGCAATCTGAACCGTCCCGTCCAAATGTGATTGCCCGGCTGGCACAAAGTGCTGGTTCAACTTCTGTGATTAGGCTGGGAAGTCTCGATACTCCATCAGGAAGTTTCAAAAGCTAACTTTTGCCGTGTTTTAGACATCGTAGTGCTACTAGACAGAAAAGAGCTTTCGTAGGAAGAGGAAGGCTTGTAGCTGGCAAGTTTGCAAAATGTAGCACTTGACAACGACGACGACCACCACGATGATGACGTCGACGACAACAGCGATGATGGTTGTTGTGATGTGACGCAATGCGATGCGTGCGATGTGATGTGATATGTTGTTGCTTATGTTGCAGTTGTTGCAGCAGTTGCTGTTGCTGTTGCTGCTGCTGTTGTTGTTGTTGTTGCTGCTGCTGTGTTGCTGTTGCTGTTGCTGCTGCTGTGTTGCTGCTGCTGCTGGTGGTGCTGGTGGCGGTTGTGGTTGTTGCTGCTGCTGCTGTTGACTTCTTTCTGGAGCTCTGGATGTTGGCTTATCCTAACCCGGTTGAGCCACATGTTCCGAGTGACATTGCTTTTGGAATCTAGGATGTCAACTTTTCTTTTCTTTGGGATGAAGCTGTTGCGGCAACCAGCCAAGCGTTCGCGCCAACATTGTTTTTGCCCAGAGCCTTATATGTAAACCTAAAACTCCAGGAGCTCTGGTAATACAGTCGATCCTTGGAAGGGCAGATTTTTCAGTCCGAAGGTTGCCATGCTGTCCTCAGGCAAGAAGGTGCCCTTGCTGAACTTAGGGTGGCAACTCGTTCTGAGAGGGGTGCAAGCCCAAACTTTGCCCCAACTCATTCTTTTTGCGCCTTGTCAGCTGCAGTGAGACTTGAACGCAGACAAATGCAGAAGTACACTTGAGACAAACCATGGAATGACATGTCCTTTGCGCTTGATTATGAGTCTGTCTGTACCTTGTCTCAGTTGGATTGCGCATACACTGTAGTCTTGCAGTGCATGTACTTGGACACGAGCCTTTGCGGCAGGGCAATGATCATCATCAAATTCAGTTTATGGATCCCTGTTCTGCGTAGTTGTGTGTATCTGAAGAGCAGAATTTGCTTGGGACACAGGTTGCGAGCCATACTTTCAGATTTGCTGAGTAGTTGGCAGCACGCCTCGGACATGTGTTAACATGCTTTGGGCATGGATGCGTGTCAGGCTCTTCAAAACACAGCGTCACCTTGGGATTTGCATTCCGTGATGTATGATTTGTTTTAATTACCCAAGAATGTTTTTTTCCCTGACGCCGCGTCTACATGGGGAGATGTATATTCTCACCGAGTGATGTGTGATAACCCATTCACTTGTCGGTTGCTCACGTGCCCGCTGCAACATACCAGGTTCGGCGTCGGCTGTCCGACTGCTGTGCCGGAAAGTACCGGCCCGGGTACCGCGCTGGTGCCGAGCATTATCAAAGCGTGCGATCATCACGTCATTTCGGAGATTGCGCTCACCTCACCGGTTGTTCATTCCAGGAGCCTTCTTGCAGAAGATCCGACGCTACATATGCATTTAGAGAGGGAGCCTGCATCATGAAGTGTAAACTTAAACCTGGGGAATGTGCATCAGTGTGTCGGCTATTTCTATTAGGGACTGCAAATACAACCCAGGCAACGATTCCCGCAAGCTCATCAAGCAGCGGGCTTTGCCGCAACTCTGGCAGGGGCCATTGATGACTTCCCAGGAAGTCACATTTTCACGCAGAACTTCGACCGAGTGTCTGCGAACCTGTCCCTTGCGAAGCAGAAAGAACAGGCTCAGAAGCGCGTCACGGCAGTGCGCAAGCGAATCGTCGAGAATACGATTAATCTTCGGACAGTATCTAGACGCACGCTGGCGCTGCGATTGTCCGCACTGGGCAGACTTCATGGCAAGAATGCGTTCGCTGCTTTGGAGCTGTTTTTTTAAACGCAGCGCTCACAGGCGCCTCGTTGGTGCATGAGACCGGATCCTTCATGGGGCCCGGCGGCCTGAAGGGTGCCAATCTCCTATTTGGCGGATGGCGGCGGCAGGGAGTGGATAGCCAGCTCTTTTGCGACATTGCTGTTCCTTTCGATTCCAGTGCGAAATGGACGGAGCACTTGCAGCGATGGCTGCAGGAGGAGCGGCAACGCATCGCAAGCCTGGATCCAGAGATCGTGGCTGCGGAGACCATCAGGGTGCTCCTAGAGGCTGCAGATGAGCTGGATACCATGTCTACTTGTGGCTGTGGTGGTGGTGGTGGTGGTGGTGGTGGTGGCGGTGGTGGTGGTTGTTGTTGTTGTTGTTGCTGTGTTGCTGCTGCTGCTGGCGTTGCTTTTGCTGCTGGTGGCATTGCTTTTGCTGCTGTTGCCTTTTTTGCTGCTGTTGTTGTTGTTGTTTGTTTGTTTGTTTGTTTGTTTGGTTGGTTGGTTGGTTGGTTGTTGTTGTTGCTGCTGTTGCTGCTTCTGCTAGTGTTGTTGCTGTTGGTTGTTATTTTCGGCTGTTGTCCCGCACTTACCGAAATCTAAAAGTTGCGTTAGGACTTGACCTTGTTCACATCAAGCTTCGCGCCGTACCTGCTGAATGCTAGTGTTCCCATCTATCTTATTCAGGGCAACGGTCCTCGTTTTGTTTTCTCGTGTTGTGTGCTCAGAAATATTCTAGAGTGCTCGAAGTTGCTCTGCGTGTACATTCCTGTACTTGTAGAATGCCAATATGTTACCGGCGGCTGCACATGTCTGATTTTCAGTCTTCTGAACCACATGGAAATAAGCAGTTTTGAGTTATGGCTTTCAGAACAGCCACAGCCAGCACCTTTGCAACCCCGCGCCTGGGTCGCAACAAAAGCGATAAAAACTAAACCCTCTAAGTGACCCGATAAGCCCTCTGTCGTGTTGTCGTTGTTGGTCGTGGTTGTTGCCGTTACGGTCGTTGTCATTGGCGTGGTCGTTGCCGTTGTCGTCGTTGTTGTGATCGTTGTTGTTGGTTTTTGTCAGAATTTACTGGTGTTGTTGATGATTAATGATGACGATGACTGACGGTGAAGATGACGATGATGACGAACATGGCAGTCGGCGATGATCTTGGTCTTGGTGGTAGGTCGCAAGTCGCAACAATAGAAACCGCCATCGCCTCAATAATAGTTGTCGCCTTATGCACAAGGATAGTAGCATGAGGCTTTGTCAAGCAGGGGCACTTTAACAGACCTAAGAGGCATAAAAGGCATGTAACAAGAGTGTAAGAGTCTGTCTTCAAGATTGGTTTTATGCAGAGTGTCCTACACAAAATTCATATCTGCAACGCTTGAGGAACCATTGTTTCATCCCGTATGGTAAAACATGTACAGTATTGTCCTTCTCAGCCGAACATTGCCAAAGCCGAATAGATTTCCACGGAATGTGTGTGCAACAAAACGCCGAGCAACTGCGTGCCAACTTCGATTCCCCCAGCATCGTGTCTTGTAAGGGGCCTCTTTGTTTGAGGTGACTGTCTGTGTCCTCATGTTCCGTCACGCACACAACCTCCGCGCCCAAAGTGTTTTGAAGTGTTTGTTGCGGGCGGCTTCTTTGACAGCTTACCAACAAAATCCAACAACGTCCACACCCTCAGCAGCTCCAAATGCACCTCGGACTTCACAACCGTCAGAAAGGCCTCACAACACCGTGGAACAAGACTATATATCTACCCTACACCCAGAAGCTTAATTCAGATTCAAGCAACCCGAAACATAAGCCCCACATCGTACATCGAAATCCCACATCCCTGATCTTAAGCCCTAAGCTGTGAAGCCTAAACCTGATGTCCTGAACCCTTAACCCTGAAGATCCCAAACTTTCCTTGCGTTCCAAAAACATGGCGTGACGTCAGCTACGAGGCATGGACGTGAAGGACACGGTGTGATTAGGGCTGTGGAGCATGGTTTGAAGGGCTGTGGACCATGGTTTAAAGTTGAAGGGGTGTAGTATCATGGCGCTTAGACTTAGATGTTTTCAGCTGCACTAACAATAGGGCATGTACTTCTTCCTACAAGTAATTGAGGAACAGAAGACAGGTTATTTTGTTTTTTTGGACGTGACCTTTCTGAACCTCGTTTACGACTTGTCACGTGTTCCGAAGAAGTTCTTTCTCAGAACACGTGTTTTACGGCAGCAAGAGGGTGAGAGCGCAAGATTTGGCTGTGGACCTACGCCTAAGAAAAGAAACCGTCATAAGGAAGATTGTGGGGCGTATCGGGATTCAACAAGGACAATTGCGCAAATACTTGAGCTGTTTGGTTCTCAGCATGGCAGAAATTTGGCATGAAAGGTAGAGCTTGTCCGGTGTTGACCTTCTTTCACTGTGTGCAACGAGTCGTTTTTCTACAGGGATCGCATCATTAATTACCATTTCTTATTCTTTTGCTACTGCAGCAGCAATTATGAAGCAGCTTAGCATTAACACTAATGTTAGCTGGTGGTTGCGATTTCTGCAGTTGTATTGTTTCTTGTGAGTAGGGAATGCGGGCTGGATTACCAATGAGTGTTCCCATTATGGAAATCCTTCATTCTTGGCATACAACAAGCATGTTCTAGCAACGAGCGAGCGACATAAGAAGAAACATAATTGCAATAATGGCAGTGACGGCGGATAGCGGTGCATTTTCATCACGACGGCCATGAGCGCGAATGTTTACTTGGTGCCTCCTCACACGTGACGGAGCACCCACTCCCCCAAAAACACTTTCATCCTCAGCATAAACCTTACCAGGCATGACAACCTGGATTCTTGGGGCGGACTTGCGCCCCTAACCATGAGCTTCAAAACCAAGGTAGGGAAAAATCTTCGCTATTGCCAGGTAATCGTATTACCTGGCAATAGCTAGAATTTTTCCCTACCTTGTATAATGCCTTATGGTTTCCTATAGCTGCTACTGGGTAATGCTAGTGTTTCGCGCTATACCTACCTGGCTCCAAACTCTAACTAGGCCTGGCTAGAACCTGGCTGTTGGATTGACGCTCATTGCTTGGATATTGCCCCCACTCAGAAACAGTTGGATAATATTCAAAAGCTAATGATGTATAGTCCTTAGAAGTACCTGTGCTATAGTGGGTTACTGGGGGCAGCAGTACCCAACCGAAACCCGAACACCCTAAACCCTAAAACCCTAAACCCTAAACCAACCCTAAAACCCTAAGCCCGAAAACCTTACACCCTAAGCCCTAGACCCTAAACCCCACAACCCTAAACCCTAAATCCCTAAACCCTAAACCCTAAAATCCTAAGCCCTAAAACCCTAAACCCTAAAGCCTAAAACCCTAAAATCCTAAGCCCTGAAACCCTAAGACCTCAAATCCTTAAATCCTAGACCTAAGTCACTGCAGAGTCTGAGGACTTGGCCCCAGGCAAGTCAGTGCGACTCCACGACCTCAATGCAGCGGGGGGCCTTAGGGTTTAGGGTTTAGGTTTTAGGGTTTAGGTACTTTCAAGGGGGGGTATATAGTACCCCTTAAGTAGAACTACAATGGTATATGGGGGTTATATAGGGATAATGGAAAATGGAAACTACTATTTAGGGTTTTTAGGGTCTAGGGTTGGATATCGTGCCCCTTAAGTAGATAGAATATGGGGTATATGGGGATCTTATAGTATATCCAAAGCCGTATTCTATCTACTTAAGGGGGACTCTATAGTTTCAGGGTGATAGAGGGATTATCTAGGAGCTCATAGGGATCTACTCATCACGATTTAGGGTTTCAAGTCGTTCTAGAGGGTCCAGGGTTAGGATATAAAGCACGGTGAAACAGGCAGACAAGTATTGCGGGGGAGTAAGACCCGCTCTGATCTAGTCTGTTTTGACAGTTCTTCTGGTGGAAGCGGTATTCAGTGATTTTGAAAAGCTAGGGGGCACCTTCAATTGTGTAGTCCTTATGCAAAGACCCTGTAGGACGAGACGTTCGACAGAAACCCGTGGAAGTTTATGAGAACCCTTCCCTTTCTGGGAGTCCCTATAATAGAGTAACGACACTTTTTACATATTGGGCTGCGTGGGGGGTCCTGTTTACATGATTCCGCATGTCAGTTCCAGCCGGTCAGCAGTTGTGATTTGGTTTGAGGGCCGTAGATCAGTACCGCAAGAAGCTCTTCAAGGGCTACTTATCAGGAATCTAAACCAAACCCATAAAACCCTAAACCCCTAAATCCCTAAACCCTAAACCCCATAAAACCCTAAACTCTCTGGATTTGATTGCAACCCTGAAGACATACCGCAACATGAAATAGACCATCTTATCACTTGTACCTAAGGGCATGCCCTGCACGCTAAACCCTCCAAAGCTGTCAACCCCTAACGCCGTAAAGAAGCGCAAACTTTACAGCGCTGGAAAAAGAAGCTGGCAGAATTTGATATAGAAGCCTGCATAATTTGTTTACCTATGCAGGTATGATCCTTATTCTATGCTAGTAGTACACTATACTCCGGAACCCCATTCATGCTACTGAGGTCCCTACACCCTGAACCCTAGATCCTAAACCCTAAACCCCTACTTTAAAATAACTCTGAACTCAGAGGCTTGTAGTTCCCGGTTTCAAGGTTTGGCGGCACAAGCCGCAACAGAATCGCATGACCTCTAAAGGGTCCGTGTTATAGGGATTGGGGGAACCAACATCATCTCATTCTTTCGGGCTGAGGGCTTTGGTTTTGCTACTGCGAAAGACAGCCAAGCGTGAAAGCTTCAAGCCCCTAGCCAGAACAGTAAATTCCTTTTCTTTTCCATTATCCCTATATAACCCCCTACATAACCCCTATATAGCCCCAATATTACCATGCAAATCCTAAAGGGAATTCCTGCTATCCTCCAGATCCCCGCAAGTTTTAATCCTGAACATTAGAGATCCTGACCTCATGACTCCCAATCCTTAGGTCCTTCGAATCCTGAAGCCAAAAAGCTTACCTTCCAGCCAGGTTAACCCAAACAAACAAACTTTTCGTGTTTGAATGCGAACAAAGATAGATTTCAGCCAGTCTAGCCCACACAAATGATGCCTATAGGACCCCGCGCAGTCACGTTTTGCCAATATCTCAAAACACCCTCAGAATAATACTTACTACAAACCTTCCCAAAATCCCCTCATGATCCCTTGGCATCCCTGGGGGACCCTGAGAACAACCATTCTGAGAAGGGTTTAGGGTTTAGGGAATCCCTGGTTTAGGGTTTATAGTTATAGTACCTATATTCCCTTCCCCACTTCCCCCTCAACACCATCCCTACACAGCCCCTTTTTTGATCCTTGTCAGAGCGCTACATGATTACCAATATTAAAAGTATGGTGGGTAGATTCCTTCTTTAGATATAGCACAGGGTACGTAAAGTACACCTCAAAAAGATAAAGATTTTGGTAGTTGTTGAGGCCCCTGAAGCCTAAACCCTAAATTGTAAACGTTAAGCCAAAAAATCTCGACCTAAGCCTTAAATTCAACATCCTAAACCCTAGACCCCAAATTCTGACCCAAAACCCAAACCCAAAACCCTAAACCCCAAATCCTAAACCCTATACAGCATCCGCCCACAACTGTTTAGGCATGGCTGAATGGTCTGGCCTGGGGCTCGGAAGGACGGTCGCATCATGGTTTAGGGTTTTAGGGCTTCAGGAGTTTTAGGGTTTAGGGTGTAGGGTTTTAGGGTTTAGAATTTTGAATTCTAGGGTTTTTAGGGTTAGAATTTTGAATTTTAGGGTTTAGGGTTTTAGGGTTTAGGGTTTATGGACCTCAGTATCTTAGAATACCATACAGGAGTTAGAGGGCTATACAGGGTCCCTTTCAAGCAGGAGTCTGATGCCAATAGTCTTGTGTAGGTTCATGAACTTGGTTTTGCCGAGCATGTATAGGGTTGTTTGGAAAAATAGTCGTGAGAGTATCTGGATTCTCCCATTGTTTATGTGCGGGTAATCGTTGGTGTGTCCTGGCTCACTCTTCAGATTGCAACGTAGAAGGCCTATAAATTACCCATAATTTTCCTTCATGGTCCTAAACCACATCGGTATAATATACCCGGCCCTTGCATCAGTGGCTCAATGTGCTCACTCTTGAGGCTTCTGTTGGCTGTGCCCTAGGCAGTTACGTACTACTGTTAAGATTTCAGTGATATAGGGCCTAAACAAATAGAATCGTGTTGTTGGCTACACGATAGAACAACATCAGTACAAGGATTATGAGGGGACAGTGTTCAGTCTTCTGCATTAAGCCTCGATCCCCCAAGCCTGTAGCAAACAATCGCCTGTGTGATCCCAGGAAGCTCTCAAAATCGTTTCTACTGCGTGCCTAGGTCGGTACCCTCGTCCAGCTGGACGAGAGCAACGGCCGCTGGCAAGTGGACCTAGGTGCCTCGTTTGTGGACTTAGTATGCATCAAGAGCACCTAGGCCTTACGTAAACCTGAAGCCTCGAACTGGAAGCCGCAAACCTTAAACCTAAAACCCGGAATCCGAGACTGGGCGCCTCCTTGACAGGTAAAGATGTTGGAGTCAAGGCGCTCCAGCCAAAGAATCTCGTGCGCTCCCCGAGCTGGCTGGAATTCTCTCCTGTGATATAGGGGTTGCTCACAATTAGGGGTTGCTTGAGGACTAGGAGTCATTTGAGGATGAGTCCCAGATAAGCTCTGGGATTGTATTATTTTTGGGACATTTTTGAGGCTGCTCGAGCTTCTTCTTTGATTGGCCGGAGTTGAGGCACTTCACGCCGAGGATGAGGGGGAGGAGGAGGAAGAGCAGGCGCGAGGGAGCGGATTGGCAAAGGGTACGAAGCGAGGATGTTCTGTTGCGTGCTATGCGTGATTAGCAGAAATAACTGGCTTGAGGATTTGCATAAATCCAAAGTATGGAAAATGTAATGACATAGTCAAGGTACCGGGTTGTTCTCAACGCCTTCTCGGAGGTTCGAGACGCTGCTTACGACTGGGCTCACAGCCTTACCCCAGTTATACACAGGGTTATAAGCCTGGTTATAAGTAGTTACTCAGTGCCATCAACTTCCAGATAGAGATGTATCGGACTGTATAGGGATTTAGAAGGATATGTACGGAGTATTTAGGTAGTATATCGGGGTTACGCCCTGAACCCTAAACCCTACACTCTCCCAAAGTAACATGGAAACCCATGGGGTCCCCTTTTGGAGGCACTGTTGTCTTTGTAGGGCGCTTTTTGGGTTTCCATGTTAGTTTCCGGGAGTGTACACCCTAAACCCTAAACCAAACCGTAAACCCCTACACCCTAAATCCTAAACCCTAAACCCTAAACCCCTGTTATGTAGGGCCTCCATGCGCCACGTTACCAATGTCGCAGGAGCCGGGCAATTGGATCGATCGGCTCCTGGGTTCGGATGGCCAAGGCGATAGGATCCAAATTCAGGGTTTAGGGCTTAGGTTTTTGGGGATTTAGGTTTTTGGGGATTTAGGGATTAGGGTGTAGGGATTTAGGGATTAGGGTTTAGGGATTAGGGTGTAGGGATTTAGGGATTATCAGGGTTTAGGGATTAGGGTGTAGGAATTTAGGGTTTAGGGTTTAGGGATTACGGTGTAGGGATTTAGGGATTAGGGTTCAGGGATTTAGGGTTTAGGGATTTAGGGTTTAGGGATTAGGGTGTAGGGGATTTAGGGTTTTGGAGATTTAAGGATTTAAGGATTAGGGTTTAGGGATTTAGGGATTAGGGATTTAGGGATTAGGGTTTAGGAATTTATGCATTAGGGTGTAGGGTTTAGGGATTAGGTGTAGGGATTTAGGCATTAGGGTTTTAGGGATTTAGGGTTTAGGGATTTAGGGTTTAGGGTTTAGGGCTTAGGTTTTTGGGGATTTAGGGATATAGGGTTTTAGAGATTCAGGGTTTAGGGTTTAGGGATTTAGGGTTTAGGGTTTGGGGATTAGGGTGTAGGGATTTAGGGATTATCAGGGTTTAGGGATTAGGGTGTAGGAATTTAGGGATTAGGGTTTAGGGTTTAGGGATTTAGGGTTTAGGGATTAGGGTGTAGGGGATTTAGGGTTTTGGGGATTTAAGGATTTAAGGATTAGGGTTTAGGGATTTAGGGATTAGGGTTTAGGGATTAGGGTGTAGGAATTTAGGGATTAGGGTTTAGGGATTAGGGATATAGGGTTTTAGGGATTTAGGGATTTAGGGTTGAGGGTTTAGGGATTTAGGGTTTAGGGTTTGGGGATTAGGGTGTAGGGATTAGGGATTTAGGGATTTACGTTAGGGTTTAAGGATTAGGGGTTTAGGGTTTAAGGTTTAAGAGTTTAGGGAGAAGGGGTCCCTCTGAAGGGGCTACAGATGCCTGCTGATTCCGAAAAGTCAAGTCGCCCAAAATGGTTCAACCTTCTTGTTGGGCTTACACCTTTGAGGGAGTACCTGGGGTCTTTGTAAAGATTATGCACAGGATCCACGCCTAGGTTCCCATCAGAATTCTAGCAGCTGTACTAGTTTTCATCACTTTGGGAGGGGTAACTTATGCACTTTTCCAAAGTTTGGATTCCTCAAGTTGAAGGTTTCTCCAGATTTAGGGTTTAGGGTTTTGAGTGGGCCTTCTCTTCAGGACAGGATTGTTTTGAGGGTAATGGGGGGGGGGGCAGTTCGAGAAGCACTTGAGTTGTGGAGCTTCTCCTATTCCCTCTCACAGAACCCGAAACGCAAAAACACTTCTTGGTGGCTTTTATGGAATGGAGGAATGGATCCCTGTGGTCGTCTATAAGGAAGCGCCTAAGCTTGATCATAGTCACTGTAGCACGGTTTTTAAAGATATAGTTCGTAAAGGAAACCCTACAGTGGCCAGCATTTTCTTGCATCGTCATACAGAGACATCAAGAGAACCTATAGTCAGTCATTTGTAGCCCTTTAGTGCAAGTAGAGAACGGGGACTGGAGCCCTACAGGAATCGCTGCACAATCCCAACAATCTAGCATCCACCAAGCCCAGTCCGCCCTTCCTAGGTAAGATATTCAGACTTTAGGGGCCTGACATGTCTTTGGAGAGTGAAGGTGCCCTACCCATTGATGGAAGAAAGCCTGCGCCAGCTTAAGTAGCCTGAATCCTGGAATCTTGCAGTGGTCTAGCAGTGGTCTAGTGGCCCTCAGTCTTGCAAGATTCCTTGCATCAGCGGCATAAGGCCTCTCAGGCATCTGTTTGAGACGATGATGGGCGTCCTCGCATAAGGAAACAACTATTCAGGAGGTTCTGATGGGACTCAACATGAGAGCGCCCATATGTAGAGATCGAAAAAGATGGGGAGCATTCGGGAGGTCCTTATTGCTCCCCGTGAAGCTAGCAGGGTCCCAACATTGCAAGGCTTGCGGAAAGGCTGCCCTGACATTGGTATAAAGCCATGTATATAACCTGCTCGACTTCCGTTCGAGTTGAGGCTTTGAGATTCTCAAGGTTTCGGGGGTTGCATTTGATGGAAGAAAGCCCTCAACTGTGATTTGCAGCAGAGGGCCCTATAGAAGTACTAGAAGCAAATAACCACCCCAAGCCATGAACCCAACCTAAACCCTAAACCTTAAACCCCAACACCTGAACTCAAAACCATGCATCAAGAAACCATGGCCCTGCGGGTGAGGATGCAACCCCAAGCACGCCCCATAGGCTTCAGAGTTCAGGCTCCATACTCAAAGGGTTATGTTGGGGATAATTATGTAGGGGTTGTACAGGGAAAATGGAAAATAGGATGGAAACTACCATTTGGGGTTTGGGGTTTAGACCCTAAACCCTAAATAGTAGCTTCCATTTTCTTTGCCATTTTCCCTATAGAACCCCTACATATCCCCAATATTTCCCCTATATAACCCGTAAGAAGACGGATGGAGGCAGAATCCCTCTAAACTCTAAACATCCATTTGGATCCCCAACACTTTTCCTTTGTCCTCAGCTTTCATTCCCAAATATCATGGGTTGACTATCCCTAAATATCCTTAATTAAGGGGGGCCTAAGGGGGGGTAGTGGAGAGGGGGGTACTGGTTGAACCCATGAAAATAACCACCAATAAGTAAGCTATAGGGACCAAATCCTGCACGACAACGAATACCCAACTTACAACTTCAACTCTGCCCCTGGATTATGGGTACTCTGAGACATGATATGATACGGTAGAAGCCTCAAGAATTAGAAGAAGGTTTTGGGGTAGTCATATTTGAGTGGTAGGGGGATAATACCACTGGTGATTCAGACAGCCGCAGTACATCAGCAGTATCCCATAAAGTAACAAGAGCAGTCGCAGGAATTGTGGGGTTTTGTGTAGTTCCCGAAATGGGGGTTTACATAAATAGGCAGCGCCAATATTGTCTGCATTTATACTATAGACCTATAGTCCTGAATATAGGTACCACCTGTAAAGGGGCCCTCATTTTTGGAAACCCCCAAATGGAAGAGCGCACTTCTTGCCCCAAGATACCGCGATCCTTTTCAGCCCAGAAAACGGCCCTTAATGCTGGGAAACTCTAGCCCCCTGTATCGCTGTATCAAGTCATATAAACCTACACCCCTGAAAAGGGAGCCAAATTTTAGGACCCCAAGCTTAGCAGGCAAAGGAACAAAGCAGTCCGACGAACTCGATGAGATCGATGCTATTGCAGAAGGGATCGACGAGGCCTCTTAGTACCGTAGTACCACTAATGCTGCTGCTGCTGGTATTACTGCTACTACTCGTGGCTGCTGCTTAGTAGGGTAGTCCCTGCTATAGACTGCCTTATGGTAGTCCCTGTAATCCATTTCTCCTTCCTTGCGAAGTATCCGTGGTTTGGGGTCGAGGTCACAGAGCTGCAACAAGGGTCAGGAAATTAGTTGCCTACAGGTTACTTTGGGTCGGAAAACACAAGCCTACCTGCTCGAAGTGTGGCTGATTTTGCTTCAATGAAGAACCGCACTTACGGACTTAGGGAACGAAGAATTGGAAGTCATTGCTTCCCCTAGACCCAAATGGTTCTTTCCCAAAATAAGGGGACCCTAATCTAGACCCCAATATACTATATTCCTTATTATGGGGACCCCCCAATAAGGTACACCTAATTTTGGGAAACCCCCAAATCTTGAACCCAAAGCCACCTGTCAGGCTGAGGTTTGCATTCATACCTGTAGGGTCAGGGGAGCTTTCTGAGTAAGTAGTTTTATAATAGGGACAACTCGGGTTACTGCGGTGCTTGCAGGGGCTAAACGTACACATACACAGACTTTCCATGCCCCCCTTGACTGACCCTGCAACTACTAGGCATTTCCTCGTCCTCCTGGGGCAACGGGCCAATAATACGGGGGTGTAAATCACAAGGAAAGGGTTTGCACATTTATACGACAGGTATAAGTGGGTTACCAGAGATAATTATGGTAGTTATTCAGGCTTCCCCACATTGCAATCTCCGTAAAAGAAACTCAAAAAACTGATCTATTTCCAGATCTCCGTTATTGGTACGTCCCCAGGCTTTAAACCCTAAACCCTTACTACTCTCATAAATATTCACCCATCTCCTCCTGCTCCAGGACGACATGCACGATGATAACGTCTTCGATTCGAGATTTCTGGAGGAGGAACCCCAACCCCCAAACCTTGATTTCTAAATCCTACACCCTTATCCCGACTAAGCCCGCATCCCTACACCGAATTAAGCCTTAAGCGGTTATCCTTACACTAGAAGCCTGGAACCCTTATCCCTAAACCCGACATTCCCCATGCTTTGTACGCAGAGCATGCCTATCTCTGGAGGAGGACATAGAGCCAGAGGAGGAGAAGCCTGATGAAACCGGGCCCGACGAGGCTCCGCCGGAGGAGGAAGATCCTCAGGACATTTGGAAGGTTTAGGGTTTTCAGGGTTTGAGGATTTAGGGTCTATGGTTTAGGGTTTAGGGTTTTCAGGTTTGAGGGTTTAGGGTCTATGGTTTAGGGTTTAGGGTTTAGGGGTTTCAGGGTTTGGGGTGTAGCGTTGCGTGAACTGGGTCCCCAAACTAGTGTCCGTTTAAAGGGGGGGTTTCGCAGAAAATCGGGGCAGTCATGGGATAAGCTTTCTCATGTTTCTGAATACCGAAACCCAACATAGAATAACAATGACCATTTGCCATTGTAGTCCAACAATATAGTAGTTTCCATTCTCTTTTCCATTGTCCGTATATAATCCTACATAGCCCTTAAACCTTAAACCCTAAACCCCTAAACCCCAAATATTCAAGACATGGCTTGTTGAAGAAGATTTTCACCTTCTTTTGCATGCTGGAACCCAGTGCAGACTAAAGATGACCCTCTTCTGGCCTTTGGTTAGCTGGGAATGAAGGAATGAAAAAGAAAATGGAAACTAGTATAATGGGGTTTTATAGGAATTACTACAAGGATCCATGTCTTTATTCCTAGCTAACCAAAGGCCAGTTTTGTATGCTTGCATGTGGACTTGAACCCAACATAGGTTGAAGCTCATAATCTTCATTGTTCCATGTATCTATATTCTAGCAACATCCTAGTGTGTATGGTACCTCAACCATACGCTGGACACTAAAGAATCCTGCAGAACCCCAAGCACCCTAAACCCTAGGAACTACGGTACTACAGTATACTAAGTTCATGCAGGATTTCTAGTATCAACATTTTCCAGACAGGAGGAGGCTGAGCAGGAGGCCGAACCAGAAGAAGCAGACCCGGAGGAGGATGAGCCACCGGAGGAGGAACGTGAGGAGGTTGAGGAGCCAATGGAGTCTGAAGAGGCCACAAGGTTTAGGGTTCTGGGTTCTAGTTAGGTAGCGTAGGAGCCTAAATAGAATAGGGATCTTGGCCCTAAAGCCTGGACCCTAAACTCAATGTACTATAGTAGCTTCCATTTTCTTTTCCATTATCCCAATATAACCCCAATATACTAGAGTAACTGAATTACATGTTCTGTGCCATTGCCCAATATAACCCCAAATCTTATAGCCACATAAGGCTTATAAGAACTTCGGCAGCCATCCAGGCTGCTTCTGTATTTCTCAAAGTAATCCCTGTGTAATCCTGAAAAGAAGAACCCTATGATCTTCTTAGAACCCGTCTATTTCCCCAGGGTCCCCAAGGGTTCTCCTTCGTGAGAAATGCCGATATTATGTTTAGAGTTTAGGGTTTAGGGTTCATAGGGTTTAGGGTTTAGGGTTGAGGAGAGTTCGCAGGTATGATGGCTGAGCGGTGTTCTAGCGGCCACCCCTTTTCAACTTTCGATTCATTTCGCTGCTCTGAGGTTGTGTTCATGATTTGGTGGGATGTTTCGTGTAGGTAGTGCATAGCCCAAGTTATGGCCAGCTATGAACCTATATCTATTACTAGTAACAACACTGGTGTTTCTTGATATCTTTGACTAGCATCTCATTGGGTGCGGATAGTTACGCGACAACCTCAAAGCGCACCACAGAGGTTCCTCCGGAGGAAGATGACGACCTACACGCGGCGCCAGAAGATGTAGATCAGGAGCCCTGCAGTAGCCTTCCTGTGCTTACAGGAGAGTGAGGGAGTGGATCCTTATAACGATCCCAATAAAAGTCAGTATAGGGAGTACCTCTATTCCATCCCCAGCCCCCTGTTAAAAACTATTCTGCTGGGATTGGAGGTAGGCAGCTTTTGGGGTGTTGGGGCTTAGAGTTTACTGGATCAATGTTAGGGATCCTTTGTACTTTTTGGGGTATGGGATTCCTTACATTTATGTAAAAAGGATCCTTTTTTCTCCCTAGGGGAATGTGGGCCCAGTTTATGTGCTCGCGACTCAAGGTGCAGGGGCTGAAGGGCCAGACCCCATGAGGTGGATCACGTGATGGTTTCTAATGCGCTTGTGGCCTGTGTGACCCTAAACCCTAAAAAAGCCTGAAGCCTAGTCTAGGTTCGCGAGCCTGCAGAGATTTCTGTGCAATTTGAAGACTTGCACAATCAGTCCTATCGTTGTCGATGGAACCTTAAGAGACTTAGATATGTCGCCTACTTTACAGACTCAGGGACATTAGCTAGCGGCATAATTATATCTACGCATTCTCAAATACTATTATGCGGTGACAGTGACCTCCAAAACAAGCCTTTGACCGTCCCTCTAGTTCATGGCTTGAGGATGAGAACAACGAACACGAGCATCCTGGAGATGAGGAGTACGATCCGGAGGCACGCGGTCTCAAGTGAGTACGTCTGGGAAGGTATCACTCAGTTAAGAAAGAACTATCAGTGTTGCTGAGCTCAGTTCCCACGGTTGATTGTAAAAGTTCGGCATGGCCCCAAGTACGTCATACCTTCGAAGTTGACAATCAAGTAGGTTATTTAGACTAAAGAGGTCACTCTATCTCAGAACGAAGGCCAGGTCTCTTCGCAGTAGCTTACTCTCCGTTCCCGCGACTCCAGGAGCTACCAGCTGAAGAGCCACCAGATGTTGAAGAGGCGTGACTTTGATTATGCAATTGGGAAAACGTTCTCCCGCACCAAACAAATGGGGGAATTGTCCCATTTGTTCATGGTTTTAACCTCCACAAGATATGGTTCTTTTGGTCCTAGGATTTTGTTTTCTCTGGGTGAGTAGGTTGGAGGACCGGGTAAGTGGGGCGCAGGGCTTGACGATGTGGAATACAAACTCCAAACCCTAAACCGTATGGGGTCTCGAGCCGTCAGTTCAGAGATTCAGCATTCGGAGTACACAATTGCCGCTGTGATCCGCAATACTTGTATGGTAGTTTCCCCAAAGAGGGGACCCCAATTTAAATCCCAATATAGTATTTTCCTTACTATACGGACCCCCCCAAAAAAACAACCCCGATTTTGGAAATCCTCATATGACTAGATGGAGGCCTTTTGGGAGCCCGAAGGGGTTGGGGGAATGGTGGGGCGAAAATGGTACCATTCCTTTCTCCTACAGCGCCCTGAACTTACTGGTTACTGGTATTTAGTAAGGAGTAAGGGAGTAGAATCCCTGTATGACCCTCCATATACTAATTTCCCATATTCCCTACTACTAGTAACAATCAGGGAGTGAACATGACAACCAACACCATCAAGTCTTGAAATCAGATCCCCCGTCGACCCTGAACCGAAGTAGTTCTACTGTCCTCAAGACTAAGAGACAACGTGCTTACAAAAGTTGTCTGACAGGTGGTTTGTAGGGAACAAGCTATATTCCCATATGCCCTACTATTAACCAGTCAGCTATGGTCCTGAGGGGAGTAGGAATTATTGCCTCGGGCTGCTGTGTGATGCCAGCATGAACGGGCAATCGTTTGGGCCTGTGGCACAGGTTTTACGAAGCAGTGGTTTCGTACTCACATGCTTCTGAATACCTACGCCTGTGCATCCAAGTTATGTTTATGTGTACATGTGCATGCTGAAGCTCAGTGTGCACATAACGTCTCTTTTTCTTATAAGTTGCAAGGGAAGGCTCGGCAAACTCCTGGCAGTCTTTTGGCAGAATTTGGCTGCAAGGTTCCTAGCAGGCATGGCAGCCCAGTAACCCACTAGGGGTGTAGTGCTTGGGAATGAGCGGGCTTCGGGATGTTTTGATGGCATTTTGTTAAGCACCAAGAGGATTTGGGAAGCCACACCTGCAAAAATTGGGCACCCTTACAGCCATGTGACACTATTAGGGTTTAGGGTTTAGCCCCAATAATTAGTGGCAATTACAGTACTTAAGGGCTATTAACTGATGCAAGCTTTCCTCCATCATCGTAGTTAATGAGTTGTGTCAGATTGCACAAAGATCCTGTTACTATCAATAGTGCCCGGTCTGTTTGACATTGTCTTGCGGAGAGTTCCTCTGAGCGTTCTCTGTGCTCTGCCTGCTCCCCTAGGGCAGACTTGGAGGTTCATGGGTAATTAGTTAGGTGGACCCCCCACCCAGTAATAGTGACTATTATGGATAATAAGATTATATTAGGGTCCTCTTATATTCCTATTATACCACTATTACAGGGTGGGGGGTCCTCCTAAGTAATTAGAAATTAGAGGGATGTGGGGGACAGCGAGGACTAAGTCGGAGCACCTATAGCCACACTTGTAAATGTTCATGAAGCTCCCTCGGATGGTCCTTGAAGCGCTGGTCATCCTAAATCCTACAGTTGGCATGAAAGCCATCCCTCTAGCTAAGATGGAATTCCCCCAAACGGGCCCGACCCAAAAAGGGTCTTGGAAAGCCTACCAGGTTGCATGTGAGTTTGGGCTAAGATAGCCCTTGTACTGTAGACTCTAAAACCGTAAACCCTAAACCCTCAACCCTAGACCCTAAAACCCTACATCCCAGATCCCTAAATCCCAAAATCCCTAAAACCCTAAATCCCTAAATCCCCAAAACCCTAAATCCCTAAAACCCTAAATCCCTAAAACCCTAAAACCCTAAACCCCCAAAACCCTAAATCCCTAAAAGGCCCTAAAACCCTAACTCCCTAAAACCCTAAATCCCTAAAACCCTAAAAGGCCCTAAAACCCTAACTCCCTGACACCCTAAAACACTAAATCCCTAAAACCCTAAAAGGCCCTAAAACCCTAAATCCCTAAATCCCTAAGACCCTAAAAGGCCCTAAATCCCAAAATCCCTAAAAACCCTAAATCCCTAAATCCCTAAAAGGCCCTAAAAGGCCCTAAAACCCTAAATCCCTAAATCCCTAAAAGGCCGTAAATCCCAAAATCCCTGAAACCCTAAAACCCTAAATCCCTAAATCCCTAAAACCCTAAAAGGCCCTAAAAGGCCCTAAAACCCTAAATCCCTAAATCCCTAAAAGGCCGTAAATCCCAAAATCCCTAAAACCCTAAATCCCTAAAACCCTAACTCCCTAAAACCCTAAATCCCTAAAACCCTAAAAGGCCCTAAAACCCTAAATCCCTAAATCCCTAAAAGGCCGTAAATCCCAAAATCCCTAAAACCCTAAATCCCACCTAAATCCCTAAAACCCTAAATCCCTAAAACCCTAAAAGGCCCTAAAACCCTAAATCCCTAAATCCCTAAAACCCTAAATCCCCAAAACCCTAAATCCCTAAACCCTAAAACCCTAAATCCCTAAATCCCTAAAAGGCCCTCAAACCCTAAATCCCTAAATTCCTAAAAGGCCCTAAATCCCAAAATCCCTAAAACCCTAAATCCCTAAATCCCTAAAACCCTAAATCCCTAAAACACTAAATCCCTAAAACCCTAAAAGGCCCTAAAACCCTAAATCCCTAAATCCCTAAAACCCTAAATCCCTAAAACCCTAACTCCCTGACACCCAAAAACACGAAAAGGCCCTAAAACCCTAAATCCCTAAATCCCTAAACCCCTAAATCCCTAAAACCCTAAATCCCTAAAAGGCCCTAAAACCCTACCCTTCTGTAGTTGGCCCCTGGCTGCAGGTGCTGGATGAAGAGCCAGAGGAGGCACTTTCCGTGTAGAAGGTTTATAGCCCGCTGAGGGTTTAGGGTTTAGGGTTTTACGGATTTAGGGTTTAGGGTTGAGGGTTTAGGGTTTTAGGGTTTTAGGGTTTAGGGTTTAGGGCTTAAGGTTTATAGCCCCCCCCTTAAGTAGATGGGATATAGGGTTTAGGGTTTTAGGGATTTAGGGTTTAGGGTTTAGGGAATTAGGGTTTATAGCCCCCCTTAAGTAGATAAAACGTATACTTAAGGGGGACTATGATCTTTAGGGTGTAGGGTTTAGAGTCCCCCTTAAGTAGATAAGATATAGGGTTTAGGGTTTAGGGCTTAGGATATAGCCCCCCTTAAGTACAATTACAATAGTATATGGGGTATATATAGAGATAAAGGAAAAGAAAATGGAAACTACTATTTAGGGTCTAGGCTTCAGGGTTGGTTTTATAGTCCCCCTTAAGTAGATGGAATATAGGGTATATGGGGACTTTATCATAATATACTGAAAGCCATATTCTACTTAAGGGGGACTATAAGGTGTAGAGTTTGGGGATCTTTGTACAACAACTATTAGGGTTTAGGGAATGGGGCTTTAGGGGGTAGGGCATTGGATTGAAGGGTCCTGGCTTTTGAGGGGTTGCAGCTGCAGCTTGTGGATGTGGGATGGTGCTCAGTAGAGTCCGGAACGGGACGTGGTTGTTTTGGTTCCGGAAAGGTTTGGGACGTCTTGTGGTTGCATGCCAAAATCATAATAGCATGGTCACGGCAAGGTACACCTCAAGATCGCCTTCAATCAACGCCAGAACTCCCGTCGTTGCAGAAGAGTTTGAAGAATAATGACCGCATTTCTCAGCACGGGCACGCTTGCTCTAATTTTCTCGTCATAACTGCTTTTCTTTGAACCACCCTAGTTGGGCATAGAGACGAAATTAGCAGCGTGAAGCAGACAATTTCCATCTGGAAGCCCATGGAAAACGGGGCTATTCAGAGAATTTATAGGGGTATTTACCCCAACCATGGAAAACGAAATGGAAAAGACACTGGGAGGATGAAACATAATCTATTGTATCATAGCCGCATTTGCCATCATGCCCACAACACCGGACTTTTGCTTTGTTTGGCGCTTTTGGGGCCATCTTGATGTGTGCAACAAGAGCCAGAAGCACAATGCCAGAATCGTAGCAATGTAGAAACCTCAATGCTTGAGAAAACTATCCCTCTACAGTTCCCCTGAACGCCTCCAGAATTACAGTGGAGTATATCCCAGAGCCACACTCACATTAGGTCCCTCTTTTAGGCAGAAGAGCCGCCAGACTTCACGAAGATGACTGTGAAGGATTTTGCAATGTTGGGCTTAGAGTTGATAGTTTAGGGTGTGAAGGATTTGCGTTTTTGAGTTTAGGGTTTCCGGCTGCATGGGGGTGAAAAGTTCCGCAATTGTTTTATCCCTTTTGGCGGGGCTTCCAGTGATCCAAAGGCATTCCAAGGCTTTAAATATGTCTGGCATGAATGTTTGGGATTTGCAAATCATGGTTTTGCCCAGCCACAAACTAACGGGCATCGCTTTGGATCGTGGATGCCATGTTGGGACCCACGGTACCCTCATACCTTCACGCCCCAGCAGACATGAAACTCCGTGGAGCCTTCTGCAAAGAACTGGCCGCGGCTTAGAGGTTAGGATTGTATCTCGTTGAGTGCATTACCCCAACATTTACTACATGGACCTCAAAGATAGGTAACATGTGGCTTCAACCGTTCAAAAACCCGGAAAGGCTACGATTCTACAAATG